GAAAATCCTGTACTAAATCAAACTACGGTATGTATGTGAGACACTGTAGAAAAGAGTGTGTGTGTGCTACTAAGATCATTCTCCGGTGTGTGTGTGAAATGATGTAGTAAAAAATGTGAGTATACTGCCTGACCTCTAGAAATGAGACAATCAATGAAAAGTGAAAAAGACTGTGCAGCTGAAACATGCACTAAAAGTGTAATGAGCCCTCGTGAATAATGAGAATGCACTGTCAGAAAGGTAAGAATGCAATAAAAAAATATAAATAAATAAATAAATAAATAAATAAATAAAATGAAATAAAAAATATATACAAAATACAATAAAATAAAAATAAATATCAAAATAAATAAAAAATATAATAAAAATGAAAATAAAAATAAAAATAACAAAAAATAAAAATAGTAAAAATAAACAATAAAGAGAAAATAAACAATAAAAAATGTAACAGTGATCCTACTAACTATATGCCAGTGCAGCCTCCAAGATCGGCATGCTAGGTAATGGAAAAGAGAAAAATTAGGTAAAAGGAGAGAGGGTCCTACTAAAAGAACCTTATGTCACTGGGTATTTATCAAAAAGCCAAAAGTGCCTAGATGTATGTACTATCCCCAATCACCAATTGGAAGTCCACAACCCTTTCTTGCAGCTCTGTATTGTAACTCCCACCGGCAGGAAATCAGATGGAAATAATTCACAATGTCCTCTTTATTATGGGATGGTCATTAAATCCTGAGTCAAAATCTCACATCCAAGTCATTTACTGCTCAGCGATATCAACGGATATCCAAAAAACAACTAAATGAGTTGTATTCGTTTAATCCTTTCGGTTGGACCGTATCCAGATGTGTGATCCAAAAGGTTTCCCTTTGTAAAAGTAACTTTGATCTATCGCCTCCTCTTGTGAGCGGTGGGATGTGGTCTATCATAATGAACTTAAGCGTGGGTAAATGGTGTTGGAAATCTAGGAAGTGTTTTGCCACAGGTTTATCAGTCTTCCCATCCCGGTACGCCGTCATGATTCCTGATCTGTGACCACGAATCCGGTCCCTTACTGTAAGGTCTGTTTTACCCACATAATATTTCCCACATGGGCATGAAATGAGGTATACTACATGGTCACTCATGCAGGTTAGTCGATGTTTGATCTGGATTCTTTTGCCTGTGTGGGGATGTGCAAAGGAAGAGCCTGTCAGCATGTGTCCACAGGTGACGCAACCTGAACACTTGAAACAGCCTTTCTTGGTATGTAATGTTCGTGTAATATATTGGCTCGGTATATCTGTTTTTACTAAAATGTCCTTCAAGTTTCTGTTGCGTGAATATGCGACCCTTGGTTTCTGTAAAAAAACCGGATTAAGTGTTCTGTCGCTGGATAAGATGTCCCATCTCCCTTTAATCCTGTGGGAAAATCTCTGGCTCTCCGTGTGGTATGATAAAGGGATCGTAATTCTGGGCAGATTTTGAAGTTGTTTAGTAGATATGCCCCTGTATATATTTTCTGCTTTTATTTGACATTCTTGGAGCACTTTATATGTGTATCCTCGTTCCACAAAGGATCTGGTCATGTCCTCTAGTTGAGTTTTACATGTGCTTTCCTCCGAGTTATTTCTGTACACTCTTAAGTATTGCGAAATAGGTAAAGACTCCTTTAGGGCTTTGGGATGAGCGCTGTTGGCGTGTAGCAGCGTGTTGCGGTCTGAGGGTTTTCTAAATAATCGATGTCCAATGTTTCGATCCTTCCGGAATATCTCCACATCCAAGAATTGGATTTTATCTGGGCTGTACGTCAAAGTAAATTTAATGGTGGAGTTTAAATTGTTCAGTTCTTCAATCATCTTCTCCAATTCTGTTGCCGTGCCTTGCCATAAAATAAAGATGTCGTCCACAAGCCTGTGATACTGTATCAAATGTTCCTTATATGTGGACAGAATGTATCTGCTCTCATATGCATACATAAAACTATTCGCATATGTTGGAGCTATTGCCGATCCCATCGCAGTTCCCATCTCTTGAATGTAGAAATTCTTTTCAAAACGAAAATAATTGTTTGTCAATGTAAGTAGTAATCCTTCTAACAAAAATTCAATGGGGGGACCTTCATAGACATCTGATTGTAATAGCAGTGTTCGCATCGCATCAATCCCCATATTGTGAGGAATCACCGTGTACAAATTTTTTACATCTGCCGTGGCGAAGATGTACTGTGTGTCGTTTAATTCACAGCTAGTGATTTTATTAAGGAAGTCTTGGGTATCCCTTAGGCATGTGGATAATCTGGAGACTGTGGACTTACAATAAAAATCCACGTATTTAGCTATGGGTTCCAGTAAACCTCCTCGAGCGGATACAATTTGTCTCCCAGGTGGTTTCTTTGCGTCCTTGTGTATCTTAGGGAGTGTGTAAAGGATCGGAATTTTCGGATGTGTATTGAGCAAATATTCCGCTGTGCTGTGATCCAGCCAATTTGCTGCTGTTCCCAATGTTATCCACTCCTGTATTTTGGTGCTGATCTTGCTCGTGGGGTCAGAAGTTAGCTTTCTGTATGTCTGGGTATCAGATAATTGGGTTAAAATTTCTTCCCTGTAGTCCGTATAGTCCTGTAGGACTATTGCTCCCCCTTTATCTGCTGCTCGAATCACAAGTTGATCATCCCTGCTCAAATCTCTGAGAGCAGTTCTTTCTGCCTGGGTTAAATTATCCGGTTTCTTCTGTTGTTGTGCAAGAATGATATCCATGTCAGTTTTCAAAATAGTGGAGAAGGTTTTGATGGCATGATGTGTGTATTTAGGTTCCCAAACGCTTTTGAGTTTGAATGATGAGGATGGTCTTACTGTCATGGTATCACGAGTAGCTTGCATATTTAAAATTCTGTTCATTTTGAACAATTCAACCCCGGTTTTGAATGCATCTGGTTTGGCCGTCGGAACGAATGTAAGTCCTTTGGATAGTACTTGATTGTGGGCATTGGTCAGCGTCTTGGAAGATAGGTTGAAGACTGGATTTATGTCCTTCTGGTTGGTGGTTTGGATCTGGTATTTATAGATCTTGTTCCTCTGTCCTCTTCTGATAAATCTGCGTCTTTTGAACCTCTCCTTGTGCGTTGATATTTGCCAGGGGGATCGTTTGTGTGTCGTTCCAGCCCTAAAAAAGTTGATGATTGGGTTTGTTGTGTATCTCTGATGAGCCCTCCTTGGCTTGAGGTAGCTCTGGTGTCTGTTTCCGAAGTGGAGTCTGCTGAGCTCGTGTCAATGGATAAGAATTGAGGCTTGCGTGTTCGTTGTCTGTTACGTTGGAATGGTAGTCTACGTCTTTCTCCACTAATCCAATGGTATACCTGATGGTGGGTATAGTCGAAATTCACTACCATTCCAACGTAACAGACAACGAACACGCAAGCCTCAATTCTTATCCATTGACACGAGCTCAGCAGACTCCACTTCGGAAACAGACACCAGAGCTACCTCAAGCCAAGGAGGGCTCATCAGAGATACACAACAAACCCAATCATCAACTTTTTTAGGGGCGGAACGACACACAAACGATCCCCCTGGCAAATATCAACGCACAAGGAGAGGTTCAAAAGACGCAGATTTATCAGAAGAGGACAGAGGAACAAGATCTATAAATACCAGATCCAAACCACCAACCAGAAGGACATAAATCCAGTCTTCAACCTATCTTCCAAGACGCTGACCAATGCCCACAATCAAGTACTATCCAAAGGACTTACATTCGTTCCGACGGCCAAACCAGACGCATTTAAAACCGGGGTTGAATTGTTCAAAATGAACAGAATTTTAAATATGCAAGCTACTCGTGATACCATGACAGTAAGACCATCCTCATCATTCAAACTCAAAAGCGTTTGGGAACCTAAATACACACATCATGCCATCAAAACCTTCTCCACTATTTTGAAAACTGACATGGACATCATTCTTGCACAACAACAGAAGAAACCGGATAATTTAACCCAGGCAGAAAGAACTGCTCTCAGAGATTTGAGCAGGGATGATCAACTTGTGATTCGAGCAGCAGATAAAGGGGGAGCAATAGTCCTACAGGACTATACGGACTACAGGGAAGAAATTTTAACCCAATTATCTGATACCCAGACATACAGAAAGCTAACCTCTGACCCCACGAGCAAGATCAGCACCAAAATACAGGAGTGGATAACATTGGGAACAGCAGCAAATTGGCTGGATCACAGCACAGCGGAATATTTGCTCAATACACATCCGAAAATTCCGATCCTTTACACATTCCCTAAGATACACAAGGACGCAAAGAAACCACCTGGGAGACCAATTGTATCCGCTCGAGGAGGTTTACTGGAACCCATAGCTAAATACGTGGATTTTTATTGTAAGTCCACAGTCTCCAGATTATCCACATGCCTAAGGGATACCCAAGACTTCCTTAATAAAATCACTAGCTGTGAATTAAACGACACACAGTACATCTTCGCCACGGCAGATGTAAAAAATTTGTACACGGTGATTCCTCACAATATGGGGATTGATGCGATGCGAACACTGCTATTACAATCAGATGTCTATGAAGGTCCCCCCATTGAATTTTTGTTAGAAGGATTACTACTTACATTGACAAACAATTATTTTCGTTTTGAAAAGAATTTCTACATTCAA